GACGTAGCTTGAAGCTGTCTTCACTAACACCATTGATTTTGGTGAGGCTGCAGAGCCTATCAAAATTATCCAAGTGATCCAAGGGGTCTTCCAGAGGCAACCCATGAAACTTGTTACCTTGAATCATTGAGATCAATCCACTCTTGATCTCGAAATTGTTGTTCTGGACAGGAGGTGGAACGATGCCCTGTCTCTGTTGATGGTTGCGTGGTGCATCACCATCACCAATGTTCCGTGGTATACCAACTCCTTGATTATCTTGATCTTGTGGTTCTATGGCTACTGGATTGTGCGGTTCACAGTTGTCTCGGGCTCCACCTTCTCTTAACTCACGAGCTAACTGGTTGATGTTGTCTTTATAGCTGATGAGGTTGTTGGAGCCTTTAGATCGAGTTTGCATGCAGAGTGGTCAGACTCGAAGTGGCAGTCTCGACGTGAGGTCGAGATGGTACCTGGAGCACAAAAACAAGCAGATGAAATGAAGAGTTAGTAACCAAAGTAAAGAAAGAACTTGATCTTAAACGTTTCTGAAATCTTAAATGGAACAATGCAACACAAGACTGGCAACGGCGCCAAATTGATAGCAAGATTTTGTCTCTCTATCAAGTAACAATCCCTAATACACATGCCATTGTAGTATATTAGGTTATCAATCCAATCTCAGTGTGACTGCAAGCATTTAAGATATGCACAGAAAGCAAATAAGTCAAGCCAATTGTGAAAGGGTTTTGTGTGTTTCTATTGATCCTAAGCAACCAATTTAACATGCAAATACCGAATTTAAAAGCATAAAAAGAGAACTAAACAACAAGTAAGCAAGAACAAGAAGTAAACTAAAGACCAGAAACTATCATGCATAAGCTTTGGAAAAGAAACTAACAACCTAACAATGCAGAGAAACGCTCTAGGCCTAACTGGTCGAGTAGAACACAAAAGCTAACAGAAACAAGATTTAAACAATCAATAGAGAGAAAAGGTCTTGAGGAATGGGGTAATCGATTATAGCAGTCTCCTTAGTCTATCTAGGTGGTTAACAAACTCAATCAAGCTATCCCTAGACAATAGATTCGAATACAAATCAATCCACTCTCGTGACAGAGATTCTCAAGCTAAATCACTTTCATACTCAATTCTCATTGAAGAAATATAACCTAGCAGGCATTAAGATTCAATCTAATAGATTCAATAAGCATTCTAAACATCCAATCTCTTGGGCTAGAGTATGCAAATCTCTAGAGTAGTTGGTTCAGACATTTCATCAAACACCTTTTGGGTGTGGAAATGTCTAAGATCAACTTCCAATTGATCAGAGAGGAAATAGCATTAAGATCTACTAAACCAGAAGGGAAATCAAGCAATTCTACACTTAACCACCTAAATATACTAAGGATTCCACACCTAATCTAACCCATCCTCAAGAACCCTAATCCACTACTCAAGAACACTGAAGAACATCATGCATAAAAACCCAGAAAATGTTTCAAACCCAGAAATCATTGAAAAGCAAGTATGTTATAGATAAGAGACAGATCTACAACTTTGATGAAGAAAAGAAATGCAAAAACTCAAAGGATCAATAGGAAAAACGATTACAAAAACTAGGGTTTATGAGAGAACAAAAGAATATCTGCTGGGTAAAAAGAATATCCGCTGGATAAAAGGGTGTACCCCTATTTATAGGAATACTAGGTTTCCCTAATTTGGCTACAAGACAAAATAAGAAGTCGGTGGGTGGTCCAACTCGACGTGACGTCGAGCCTGCGTGGTCGAGTCTGTGTCCAGACAGCTTCCTGACGTCCTACTCGACGTGTCGTCGAGTCCATGTGGTCGAGGGGGAGTGATTCTTCAAAGGGTGCTCCTTGATGGTGTCCTACTCGACCTCACGTCGAGTTGGTGTGGTCGAGTCCAACCCTTGGTGGTTTCTGAGCGCCTGCTCGACCTCCTGTCGAGTCCAACCAGTTTTCTGCATATGTCTCCATTAAAACCACCATAACTCTTGCATCAAAGCTCTGATTCGCTTGAAATCACCTCCGTTCGAAAGGTAACTCAATTTCCTATAACTTGTATGAAGAGCTCTGAAACTAAATCGCAATGCAAGACTTCCATCTGAGTCGATCTTTGAGGGACTTCAGACTGGCTCTGAATCATCAATTCTCTTCTTTGCATCCATTAAGTGCCAAATAAGCTCCAAATACCTGAAACACATCCAATATGCAATATGCTATGCCATGCAATGCAAATCGTACTAAGTGATGAAAATGATATGAAAAGGACTATGGATGCAATGAAAAAGAGATGAAACTTAGCTAAATGCACGAGAAAAGTGTGCTTAAAAGCGGTAAAATATAGAGACATCAATCATCTAAAGGGAGGATGGTACGAAGAACTCCAACCCGTCCTATGGGCCTATCGTACAACCCCTAGGCGACCTACCGGAGAAACTCCATTCTCTTTGGTTTATGGCATGGAGGTAGTAGTACCAGCTAAACTCAACGTGCCCGGACTTCGCCGAACAGAAGCACCGTTAAATGAGGAAGAAAATTCAGCAATGCTTAATGATTCACTAGATACCATAAATGAAAGGCGTGATCAAGCTTTGATTCGGATTCAAAACTACCAGCAGGCAGCAGCCCGATATTACAACTCTAAAGTCAAAAGTAGGTCGTTCTTCGTAGGAGATTATGTGTTAAGGCGCGTCTTTGACAATAGAAAAGAAGAAGGTGCCGGTAAACTTGGTATTAATTGGGAAGGACCTTACATTATTACTGAAGTGGTTCGGAACGGTGTCTACAGATTGAAAGACTTAGAAGACAGGCCAGTCAAGCGACCTTGGAATGTGATCAACCTAAAGAAGTTTTATATTTAAAGCTACATGCATTTTATATGTACATGAACTACGGTGTGGCTTGATCCCGAAATGGGTACGTAGGCAGCTCGGAAACGAGTTCAGCTATTAATAAAAATTTGTTTTATTTCTGTATTAAAGGTAAAGGTTCGACTGTGCGAACAAATGAAGCAAATAAAGGTTCGGCTATGCGAACATACAAGGGATTGGAAATAGAGCGTTTATTCAAACAAAAAAAAAAGATGGAATGTCCCTCATCGAACACCTCGGGTTATGGAGATCTTGGTGACGAGCAGAACACTTCAACTCCTTGACCAGCAAGGTCGAGGATTGGCATCATGCAGTCCGGAATTCGAGTCCGAGCTCGACCCATTCTCCAGGGTGAGATTCAAGGATGTGAAGATCTCTTGACACCGTAGTAAGCCTGCGTTTCATCCGGTTAATCTTCTTCCGGAGTCTCCTCTTTTCCAACGTAAGCTTCCGATGTTGAAGCGCAAGTGCCTCTATGAACGCCATCGCTGTTCCTTGGTCTCTGATTGGGAGATCCCTGATCAAAGCACATGGAGCTCGGATCTGGGATCTTAAGAAGCTGCGAAGTGGAAGAGGCCTCCTATTTGGCTCATTTCGGGCATCTTCGTGTATCATTCCGATCCTGGAGAAGTCGGGCATAGATTCTGAACATCAAAGGTTGAACTCCATACCTGCTAAAATGAAAAAGAGTGGTAAGGAGAAAAGAGAAGTTGAGGCTATAATTTATAAGAGTATCATATTCCTAGTAAGCTGCGGATTCTATCCTAATAATGGAGTGATTCGCGGAGAGATTTATGCCTTTAAACCGATCCTGCATTAAAAGACGCATCTCCGAGAATATTTGAAGAATAAGGAAAATCGCAAATGCTTCCATAAATAAAAAAGGGGCCGAAGCCCATTACGAGTTCAAAATAAGTAAAGAAGTTAGAGAACATTTATGGAAGAGGCTCGGGAACAAGCTCCTTCATTGCCGGTTTAACTTTCGAAGTGGACGCCTTGTTCTTGGCATCCACTTCGGGACAATCTCGAACGCGTTTTCGACAGGTGCTGGCCTCCTCCTCGTCTTCTTCTTCGCTGTCAGATGGAACGGCATAGACCGGGGCATTCACGGGACCCGGGACTCCTTTAGCGCGGAGATACATCCGGAGCATCTTCGGGATCTCAGCGACAGAATCAAAGTTCCGCCATTCCCATTGAAAGGGATCACTTTCCAAAGCTCGTATCATCCTCTCCACCCGAGCGATGCGAGCCTCGAGCGTTTGCCTTTTGAGGCCCAGCCGCTGCCTCTCTTCACACAAGCGACAGTGTTTTTCGGCAACGTAGCATAAAGATGAATGAATAAGATGAAACAAAAAGTTTTTAATCGAAGACGACAGATATAAACCTTATCAATAAAGTCGCAAGCCTCTTTCTTCTCCTTCGAAGGAAAGTGAAAGACGGCGTGAGGGAAAAGAACGCCGGCCGGTTCAAAGCCGTCGCCGGACAAGAAGAGTGGGCTGCCGGGATCAATGGGGGCTACTTTTTCGTTTTCCATTCTCGTAATATTTCTCAAGTAAGATTCTAAAATTGTATCTAAAGAAAGCTTAGAGGTAGGTAAGCTTTTATTTATAATGGTTTAGAGTTTGTCTTGGAACCATAAATCCAATAATGGTAGTATGCCCGAGTGGTTTAAACCATTTTTGGAAATAAAGAAAAGGCAGCTTTTGCATTAAAGACGAGCCGTTTTCCTACTTTTAAGAAATAAGAAGGGAAAGAGCAACTGTCGCATTAACTACAAAAGTTTCTAAGGCCCAAGCCCAATAAATTTATCGAGTTGACTAAACCCGAAGTGGGGAACTCGCTTTAAGCCGAGCTCAGTTCTCGCATTCTAAAGAGAAAGGTCTGATCAGCCTAAAAATCTCGAAAGCATAACCACAAGGCCACAAAGGGTTAAAAGCGGACTTTGCAAACCCGCACATAATTTTAACCAAACCCCCCTTGGGGTCAAAACCTAGAAAGGTTTAAAAGCCTCCTCAGGCAAATATCTTGTTCAAAAGAAATAATAAAGCCTCCTTAGGCAAAAACAAGTTCGAAATTAAGTTTTAAAATTAATGGGATAATTCCCAATTTAAAGTGGACGCAACCACTACGGAGTAACAGCCACCTCGGACTCCGGCTCGACAGTTGGAGTTTCATTCGCCTCCTTAGCTGGTGCTTGGTCAGATGGCACTCCTGGTCCGCCCTCCACAGTACAACCATCCTCCGGGGTGACCTCCGATGTCACAGGAACTTCGGGTGGGATGACATCTTCCGTCTCACTTGGGCCTAGGAAGGACGGTTCCAGTCAATTTAAAAAAAAAAAAAAAAAAAACAAAACATAAAGTGAGGAAAAGGTAGTAAGAGTCAGGAGCCAAGCGTTACCTGCCCAGTCTAGACCCGATTCACTTATAGGAGGCGATTCAGTGAAGAATTCCTCGAAGTCCTGCGGGTTGAAGGTCGAAGTAGGAAGAGCTGCCAAGCGACTCCGCTTTTCAGAAAGATTAGCCGATAGTTCGGTCCTCTCTTCTACCTCGGAGAAATCTGTTTCATGGATTTGATCCAACAAAATCAGATTGCCCTCATGCTCCTTGATATCTGATTCCAGGTCTGACCTAGCTTTCTCGGATTGAATGAAGCGGATGGCTCCTTGGATCAACTCCATCCCGCGTCCCTTAACCTCCTTTCTGGCTTTCGAAGCCAACCTTGCCAACTCGGAATCACGCAATTTGGCAATCGCCTTGTACTTCGCGTTAAGCTCAATGAGTTGGTTATTCAGGGTATCGGCGGTTGATTCGGATTCGTAAAGCCTACCCTGAACACCAGAAAGCTCATCCTGGAGTTTCAAATTTTGGTCGTATTGGTCCTGCAGCTCCCCCTTAATCTTCGCCAGCTCGGATGTTAGACTGTCGACCTTGTCCTCCAGATCGTGCTTGGAGCCGGTAGAAGAGCTTAGTTCAGCCTCAAGAGCAGAAAGTTTTTTCTTCCACGCGTCAATCTCCTTTTCCCGACCAAGGACCAGCCCCTCATAATGTTCAATCATGTCATTAAGCTCACCGTTAGCCTGCCATTATGCATGAAATCGAGATGGTGAGGCATTTCGATGAACGGCAGCACAATCGGAAAAATAAAGCGGAACTAACCCGAGATGAATGATAAGCATGAAGCAAATAGCGTTCACGAATCGCAGGGCGCCACTTGTTGAAGTCTGGCAAGATCGAACCCGATCGGGTCTTGAAGCATCGGAAAACGCTGCCTTCCTTCTCCATAGCTGCGAAGGAGGAAGAGTTGTAAAAATTGGAATCTGAATAGAGACAAAAACTTTTAAGACTATGTAAATCACCAAACCTGAAAGCGATTTGACTTGAGGGACAAGAGCAGGCTTTAACCTCGAGGAAGAATCTCGAGATTCAGAATCTCCCTTTTTTGGAGATGCGCTCCGGGCAGTCTTTTCGCTGTCAGGCTGGGAAGAGGAAGACATATCAACCGGTCGTGGAGGACTCATTGGTTCAGTAGGAGGGGATGATCGAGGTGAACGGTCAGTCCGGGCCCTTGACTTCTCCCTTCGCGGGGAAGAATCACTACGAGAGGACTTGTCTCTCTTCCTGCGAACCAAGTTCTTAAGTGGTTCGTTGCTAAAATCATCTCGGGGAGGACAAGGTGAATCACGGCGAGGACATCGGTCCCTCCGAGGAGAACGCGAGTCACGACGATCACGACGAGGAGTTAATCTAAAAGAAGCAACGGATCTGGCTCCTTTGGTGCTGCCATCATCAACCAGCAGGGTCCTACTGTAGTCCTTCTTATCTATAGAAGTCGCGAGAAACTTTTTCTTCCCCTCACAAGCCTCAGCTATCGGCTTGGAAAGCACCTTACGCTTGGCCGCAAGGGCCCGAGATGACATCCCCTGAGTTGAGGGAGGAGGCGGAAGTTGGTGAAGTTGACCCGGTGGACTCATCCTGAGTCTGTGGTTAGCTTCTAGGAATCGTTCAAGAGTGAAAGAATTCCAAAGGGTTTCCCCTTCGAGAATTATCTTGAAGAATTCGATGAACCCTTCAGATGGGAGAGTGGAAGCGATGAAAGCTGCGAAATGAAACAACAGTTTTAGTCAATAAAGATAATAAAACAACCGAAAAAGATATATGCGACCTAATCTCTACCAGGCTTCGCAGACCACTTTGATGGGAGTAAATCTGCAAGATTTCCAATCGAAGCGGGAGTTTTCTTAATCAGAAACCAAGGATGGTGCCAATTTTCATCCTTGTTCGGAAGGTGCGAGATGATGTTTCTATTAGCATTCAGATACGCTGAGAAGTACCCCGTCTTCTTCGATGAACTTCTTACGCTTAGAAGCTCATTTAGTTCAGTGACTCCGATAACATATCCGGCCTCCGCCGCGATTGTTATAATTCCGAGGATGGTACGAAGAAGATTAGGGGTTAATTGAGGAAGAGCAATTTCAAGAGCCGCTAGGTATCGAACTAGGGCTTCGGGAAGGGGAAAGGTCAGCCCGCAACCTTTAAAATAGATCTCGTATACAAAGAAGTAGTCGTCGCGGTGGCACTCTGGGGACTCCGTAGGATCAGCTATCTGCGCCTCCGCCATAATTCCCGGTGGGATTCGGCAGAGCTCCCTCAATCGTTCGAGGGATTGAAGGGTGCAGGTGGATCTATAGTGCGGACCGGCAATATCATTAGGGCGGGTGCACTCATCATTGCTAGAACGCCTCTCATCGAAAGACGGAGACTCGGGTCTATCGGAATCGGAAGTCATTGGGAAGAATGAAAAATTCAAGTTTCGGGAAAAAGAAAATTTGGAGAGAGAAGTAGAAGGAGTTTTAACCACAAAGATCAAGAGTAAAAGTAAGAATGAAAAAGAAGGTTACCTCACGCAAGCTAGGTGATAATGATGGAACCGTCTTGGCAATCGTGGAAGAAGTGGGAAGGTTTTTTCCCGCTTTAATAGTAAATAATCGATATACGGTCATAATGGCGACAGATGTCACGCAACTAAATATGGGTAGCACCGAAATTAAAGGACTGATGGGATCTTGGCGGGAAAAAAAAAAATCAGAAGATTCCTCGGAACGCAATCTTTGGTCATTAAAGCATTTAAATTCCTCCGAATTGGAATAGCACGTCGAAGAACTTGGGGGGCTAATTGTTGGTGTCGGATCCCGCACCAGAAGTCCGAGACCAACCAAAGATTACCACGTAGTCAAGATAATGGCCCATAAAGGATAAAGCCCATTGGACCCATGAGCCGAAGGAACGATCGAAGTGGTTGTCACCACTTCGAGAATCCGAAATGGCTGCACTTTAACATGAGTTCGGTGTAGAAGACACGGGTAAGTCGGTTCAAGGACACTTGGGCCAAAAGGCGAGGCCCATGAAGATCAGAGTCAACTCAAATTCAAACGTTGAGCATTAAAGTCAAAGAATCAAAACGGACACATTTAAGAAGGAATAATTGTACTTAATTACTCATTTTAATGTCGTTTTTCTATGTATAAATATAAAGGCCAATGGCCATGTAAGGGGGATCTCTCTCTTGAACAAGAAATACGATAGCAATTTTTTGTAGCAATTCATAAGCCTTTTACGTTCTTATTTTTTGTCCCTCAAGAATAATCTTTCCTACTAATAAAAATACTTGAGTGTGTGAATTCCGACATCCACACATTGTATTCTTTCTAGTTAAGCTTTCCCTTAATGCATGTAGTTAAATTCATGACCTAAATCTTGATCTCAAGTGTTTACGTTTCCCATAAAGTTACTTTCTAGTTAGAAAGATCATTGAACCCCCTGCGATCCCTTGAATTCCCAACGCTTGTCTTATTTATTCACTTACATTTTCTCTCGCTTTCTTGTTTACTTTATTTTGCAACCGTGACAACAACAACAACCCCTCTTTTATTGATTTGGAGTTGGGGTTCACTCCAAGTAACTTAGGGAACACTCTGAGAATATTCTCTCAAAGCCTATCTCCTTGGCAAAAACTTGGAGTTCATTCCAAGTAACTTGGGATTCACTCCAAGTAACTTGGGATTCACTCCAAGTAACTTGGGATTCACTCCAAGTAACTTGGGGAATACTCGAAGAATATTCTCTCAAAGCCTACCTCCTTATACTATATAAAGAGACCTAGCCTCTCATTATTTCTCAAGCTCTCAAACAGAAATCACTCTCAGTTCTAAAATCACGCCTCTCTCTTGCTTCTTAAAAGTAAGTTCTTAGTTTAGTAGTTTCGAGAGTATATCGTAGATCAAGTTTGCTTAAGTATATCACTCATGTACTCGAGTATTAGTTCGTGATCGTTTGTATCCTGTGATTCATAAATCGGGATTGTCCGAAAGTACTTACGGCCGATTTATTGAATTAAGAAAAAAAAAAATCATATCTTGCCTCCATGATTTATATTATTTAAGTTACGTCTTTAAATTACTGTTGTAATTCGTTTATGTTATTGATGCGGACATCGACTTTAACCAAACTGCTGAACTACATCTTGTACTACATCCTACACTACATCCTGTACCAGAAGTCCGAGAAGGTCCCATGACACGTTCAAAGTCTAAACAACTCAAGAAAAGGTTCAATTTAGCTGTGCAAGACATTCTAAGCTCCTTAGAGCAGGAGGAAGTAAACTGGTCCGTAGCACCCCAAACCGGATATGATCCAATAGCCGAAGAAGAGCTTGCTGAAGCTTTCACCCAAATGAGTCTTGAACGAACTACTCCCCAAGGTATGAAATCTTCTGTGACAGGTCCAGAAGCCCCTAGAATCCAAGAGAAGACTTTAGAGCTGCAGGAGACGTACGAGACAAGCTTCACTTCCGAGAGTGATCAAGAGAGTCAAGATCAAGACCAAGACACCAAGGACGTGGAAGAGCTCCAAGACACTGATCAAGATACTCAAGAGGAACTCCAGGAAGGCCCCTACTTCAAGAAACCAACAAGTAAACGAGCACAAGATATGACTCCTGAAGTAGGTCAGCGAGTACTACAGGAAGTGACTCAGAGAACGTCTATTGGGCCTAAAACGCATCCCGGTAAGTTTATTCAATTTATACTATCTTTGCAGGTCCAATAAGCCCACACAACGGCTAGACTCGTCATCAAAGCGTGCTCCTCAAGAGAGTTTAAGTAGTTTCCTTATTTAGTTATTTTCTTTCTAAAAACAATGGTTTTTGTTTTTTGCTTTTATTTGCTTCCTTTTTTGTGTATTTGCATTTATTTTCGGCCCTAGGCTAGCTGAAGGACTCTTATAAAGTCCCCCTGCAGCAGTTGTACGATTTTCACCTTTGATTATCAATAAAGAACCCGAATTTTCTTACTTCTTCTCTTTAAGTGTTCTTAAGAGAATAAGCTTGTTCTTTGTCTTGTGTGTGTGATTCACCAAGGCTGAGTTCGTGTACTGTATCAGAGACCAATCACATCTCTGTGGTGTACTTCAATCCGCCATCACTTTCCTCTATTTCGATCCCACACGAGAGAAGCGACCGCCATCGTGTCAGATCTACATCATCGACCATCAATCCTTCACAAGAGAGAAGCGACCGCCAGCTTGTGAAGCCACCATCTCTATCCCGATATAAGTCTCACCACCGAGTCTTGTATCATCTGGTATCAGAGCATTGGTTTGCTCTACCCTTGCCAGGTTCTATTGTTTCCTTTATATTCTGCATTAGTTTCTGAATCAGTTTCTGTACTAGTTCAGTTTCTGTTTATTTAATTAAAAAAAAAAAAAAATCATAGTTTGTTTCCATTAATTGTTTAATTCATTTTGCGTACTATTTTCTTCATAAAAAAAAAAAAATTGCTTTCAGTTTTTGTTGCATTGGTATTACCTGTCAATTATTTGTTTTAATTTGATAATATTAAAAAAAAAAAGTTTAGTTATTAAATTTCGTTCTGTATTAGCAAGTGAGTCAAGAAGTACCTCAGGAAGTGCGTCAGCAAGTTTTAGCTTTCTTGTTTACGACTTGTTCCTTTCAATTCTTGTGGTACGTTGATTCCTTTGTTGTTTTTGTCTAAGTGCAGATCACTTTTAGGCATACACTATGGGAGACGAAGCAGCTATACCTCAAAACGCCATGATGCAAATGATGGCTACTATGATGGCGGAGATAAGAGGATTAGGGCAAAGGCTAGGCCGTTTGGAGCAGCCCCAACCCAGGGTTGAAGTTAGACCGGATCAGGCTCAAAGGAATGCCCGCGAAGAGGCGGACGAGTTTCCTGACTTGGATGATGATGATGATCCACCACCCGATCCTGTGAGACGTCAACATCAACGGAGAGAAGATCCATTGATGAGGAACCATGCACGGAGAGTGGAGCCCCGTGAGCAGAACCGAGATATCAAACTAATACCTCCTACTTTTGTAGGAAAATCAAATCCAGAGGCGTACATGGACTGGGAGAGACGGATGGAATACATATTCGATTGCTATTGATATGGAGAAGCTCGAAAGGTGGCCTTAGCAGCCGCTCAGCTCACCGAAAATGCTTTGTCTTGGTGGGATAGGACAGTAGCTGACCGGAGGAGACAAAGATTTGATCCCATAAGCAATTGGGGAGACATGAAATACCTCTTAAGGTTGAGGTATATCCCTGATCATTATCATAGAGACTTACAAAAACGTTTTAGAAAGTTTTCTCAGGGAACAAGGACCATGGAAGAGTACTTTGAGGAGTTTGAGAAGCTCATGAACTCCTTGGAGATAGAAGAATCCGACGAATCTCTCATGGCTCAATTCATAGACGGACTACAAGAGAGGATTCAAAGGAAGGTGGAGAGAGCTAAATACAATGGACTCCCCGAGTTGTTACACTTAGCTGTACAAGTGGAGCAACAAATCAGGCGTAAGACATCCTTAAGCAACCGTTCAGAAACAACACGCCTTGGAATACAAGCAACAACCGAACCTTGGATAAAGGCAAAGCCGTAGACAATGATTCTAAGTTCAAGAACAAGTCTAATGAGGCGCCTAAAACCTCTAAGCCTAAACCAGGTAAGTTCCCTAGTACTAATCAATCTCGTTCTCGTGACATTACTTGTTTCAAATGTCAAGGTAGGGGACCCATGGCGAGAGAATGTCCGAACCAAAGGGTGATGATTCTCACTTCTAGTGGTGACTACGAGTCACAAGATGAGCAAGAGGAGGGTTCAGATGAACATGATGAGGACGTTGAGTACCCGGATGTAGGAGAACTCCTTGTCATCCGTAGGACATTGAGTATGTTTGTCAACCCCGAAGAGAAGGTGCAACGAGAAAACATCTTCCACACTAGATGCACCATCAAGAACAAGGTATGTAACTTAATTATTGATGGAGGTTATTGTACTAATGTTGCTAGCAAGTACATGGTAGACAGGTTAGGTCTTCAGAAAACAAAGCATCCGAGACCATACAAGCTTAGATGGCTCAATGACGACACCGAGCTAAAAATTGCTGAACAAGTGACTGTATCATTCAGCGTGGGAAAATATCAAGATCAAGTCGTTTGTGACGTAGTGCCAATGAGAGCCGGCCATCTTCTCCTTGGAAGACCATGGCAATTTGACCGAGCTACATGTCATAATGGACGTACCAACCATTATTCTTTCACCTACAAGGACCGTAAGTATAACCTTGCCCCCCTAAGTCCCTCAGAAGTTCATGAATTACAAATTCACATGAACAAGAGGAAGAGGTAAGGAATTCTAGTCTTTACTTAAGCTCTAATGATGTTTGTAAAACCATGAGTGCCAATGGCACCGTGCTACTAATGGTTTTCAAAGAATGTCTTAGTACAGGTTTAGGTGACATCGAGTTACCCGCTGAGGTACAAGCTGTACTAGATCAATACAAAGACATATTTCTGGAGGAGACTCCACCAGGGCTACCTCCTATTCGTGGCATAGAGCATCAGATCGATCTCGTTCCAGGTTCTGCTTTACCTAGCAAACCAGCCTATAGGATGAATCCGGAGGAATCGAAGGAGCTAGAAAAGCAAGTGCGTGATCTAATGGAAAAAGGATACATCAGAGAGAGTCTCAGCCCGTGTGCGGTACCTGTCCTATTAGTTCCAAAGAAGGACGGTACATGGAGGATGTGTGTAGACTGTCGTGCCATCAACAATATCACCATCAAGTACCGACACCCCATCCCGAGACTAGACGACATGTTGGATGAGCTTAGTGGTGCAACCATCTTCTCCAAAGTTGACTTAAGGAGTGGCTATCATCAAGTTAGAATGAGAGAAGGAGACGAGTGGAAGACAGCCTTCAAAACCAAGCAAGGTCTCTATGAGTGGCTTGTTATGCCATTCGGGCTGACTAACGCACCAAGTACCTTCATGCGTTTAATGAACCAGGTTCTAAGGTTATTTATTGGTAAATTTGTTGTTGTTTACTTTGATGACATACTTATTTACAGTAAGTTCTATTCTGATCACGTTCAACATTTAGAGTTGATTTTAAAAACGCTTCGGAAGGAAGGCCTTTATGCTAACCTGAAGAAGTGCACCTTTTGTACTGACAAGTGTGTGTTCTTAGGTTTTGTAGTAAGTAAACATGGCCTACAGGTAGATGAGGAGAAGATCAAGGCAATCCGTGAATGGCCTACTCCAACATCTATTGGACACGTTCGTAGCTTTCATGGACTAGCAAGTTTCTACAGAAGGTTCGTCAGAGATTTTAGTACAGTGGCTGCGCCAATGACTGCTGTGATAAAAAAAATGTGTCTTTCACATGGGGAGAAGCTCAAGATAAATCTTTCAACACATTGAAGGAGAGGCTCACACAAGCACCGGTCTTAGCCTTACTAGATTTTGAAGTTATGTTCGAAGTAGAGTGTGATGCATCAGGTTTGGGAATTGGAGCTGTACTACATCAGAGGAGGAGACCCGTAGCTTTCTTTAGTGAGAAACTAAGTGGAGCTGCATTGAATTACAACATTACTTGTTGTCCAAGGAATTCATCATCCATACCGATCATGAGACTCTCAAGCATCTTAAGGGTCAGACTTCGCTTAAGAGAAGACATGCCAAATGGTTGGAGTTCATTGAGACGTTTCCATATGTGATAAAGTACAAGAAGGGAAAGGAGAACGTGGTAGCTGACGCTTTGTCGAGGAGATATGCCCTTATAGCTACTATGGAAGCTAAGGTGATGGGATTTGAGCATATCAAGGAGATGTATAAGGATGATCCAGAACTAGGAGAGTGCTACAAAGATCATGGCAAAGGACTTTACAAAGCATTCTACTTGGAAGATGGGTTTCTATTCAAGGACAAGCGGTTGTGCATCCCTCAAGGTTCTATGCGAGACTTGATACTTAGTGAAGCGCATGGTGGAGGTTTGATGGGTCATTTTGGTGTTGACAAGACTTTGGCCGTAGTAATGGAACATTTCTTCTGGCCCCACCTCAAGAAAGACGTTGAGAGATTTTGTGCCCGTTGCATTGTTTGCCACAAAGCCAAATCCAGGTTACATCCTCATGGTCTTTACTTACACTACAAGAAATATCAACATTGATAGCACAAGAAGATAGCTCATTTTCCGTCACTGCTATAAAAGATGAATGTTTTATTTTGATTACTATATAATAGCATTGAAATAACGCTAAGATAAAAAAATTACTAAACGAAAAGCTAAAATCATTTATTATGCCAATACTTCTAGGAAAAAATCCACTTTAAGAGTTATATATATCAGATCTAAAAAATTTTAGTGCCATCATATATACCAAAGCCAAAAAAAAATTACCCATAGACTCCACGACAAAAAAACCTAGATCTCTTCCAATCCGCCATAGACTCCACGAAACTCTTCGCCAGCCTCATTTTGCCTCCATTCGTTCATCTTTCCTCCAGTCTCAGGTGATTCGTCACCATCCTGAAGAATCGTCTCCTCTCATCTCTAAACCCTAGCCGCCGATGTCGTCGCTGATTCTCCTCGTCGTATATGTCTCTTGTTAATTTTGTTTACTCGTCATCCCCTTACCTCGGAAAAAGTTAGGGTTACGGATCCGAATTAGCAACCATGGAAGAGATCACCGATGGAGTGAACAACATGAACTTGGCCGTTGATTCCCAGAAGTAAAATCGGATTCAGGTTTCAAACACCAAGAAACCATTGTTCTTTTACGTCAATCTCACAAAGGTACATAGTTTAATTCGATTGATATGTGACTCGTATTCTAAGCTTTCAAATTTCTGGACTTGAACAATCTCTTTCGATCGAGAGGATCTATAGGCAAATGGCTTGTATTCTAGTTCATCTGCTCATCGTGATTCTCTAGTTCTGTAGCGGAAATGATTGTTTCTTCAATTGCAGCATAAAAAAATCAG